TATGACTAAATTTAGTTTTACTTTAGTTTGGTACATGTAGCACTCCTATTCATAATGTCACTTCCCATAAAATTTGTAAAATTGAGGCAGTTTAAATGTAAACAACAGTTGACCCGTTTGGATCAGTGTGAGATGACATATGTAATTGCCTGCAATAACAAGGTCTCTAATTTTGAATGAAATTATAAAACTTTAGTATTACAGCATTTTCTGGTAATGATTGATTAGAACTTGAACTTAAATTGAGAATCAAACCACTCATTTTTATTAAATAAATTCTATACCCAATGGTGTCACTTAATTATTAAACGTAAAAAAGGCAAAGTAATATCAGAGTATGCAGAACTGACTATTTTGGTTCTTATGATACGACCTATACTATACAGAGGCAAGTACACGGAAGCAGCTAAGTTTGGCAAGCTAAAGGGAGTGGATCTACATTGTTCATTAGACTGTGACTTATGGGGACAACAATAACGATGATCACCATATTACATGTGCGTTAAGTCTGCTAAATCTTAATTCATAATATAATATCCGACTTGATTATGAAATATAAAAAAGTAACCGCTTTAGAATTGTTGAAAACTCTCTATAAATAAAAAAAATATGGATTAAAAAATCTTTTTCGATAACGCTTCCAACTCACACCATTGAACAGAGAGACCACGTGTCTTGAATTTAAATCACTACGAATAAAAGGGAACCTGATCATTTGTTGTATTTGTTAAAAGTCTTCTTCGCCCATTTGCAAATTTTGTTAAAATTATTTCAACGATTTTGAAGAAATGAAATATGGAGATAACAAATAGTATTGAAGATCATAGTCCGTTTAAACAATACAAATCGGAAGCAGAGCAAACACAGAAATCCAAAAACACCAGAGGCCTGATCAGGTGCCATGAAGGAGTAAGCATTCCCTGTCGACAGGTGCACTTTGTCATGATCGGGTAAACGAAAAATCCGTAGAAATTCAACTGTGTAAGTAGTGGACTAATAATTAGTATGAAAAACGTCAGTCAGCATTTGAACTAATGATAGATTGTATTTGCTGACAAGGTCATTGTATTGACCACAAAACTTGCGAAATGATGACTTCAAACGAGACTGTTGATATCCTTGTTTCATCAATTTGATGGTTAATAGCCTGCTTCATTTTAAAAATTCATCCTACGTAGAGTATGCTCTTACGTATCGAATCAACTGGGAGACATAAACCCCATTTGCAGGTGATAAGGGTATATTGCTACATAAGTAAGGGAAGTTGACGATAGAAGCGTTGAAGTCATCACGTTTATCATAAAGCTTGGTTGTTAGGTTACTACTAACGTCTTTTTCTAGTAAAATATTCAAATATGAAACAGATGTGTCAGACTCTGTGGTGTCTTTTATTTCATGTTCACTAGGATATACCGAGAATGTATGTATATGAATGGAAGTAACTATTGTTAATTGATAATGCATTCTCGATATATCTAAATGTCGAGCTGTATGTTTGTTTGTTGTTTAACGTCTCTCTCGAGAATTTTTCACTCATATGGAGACGCCACTTGCCGATGAAGGGCTATACATTTTACCTATACTCGGTACTCAGGGCCATTGAGCAGTGAGGATCTTTGTCGTGTCAAAACCTACTGCGACACGGGACCTCGTTTTATACGGTCTCATCCGAAGGACCGGCCTGTACGTCCCGCAGTGGATTCGAACCCGCGACGTAAGGATCAGCTCCTTACTCCGTGACTCTAGAGCAGACGCTCTAACCACTCTGCCACGCGGGCGACAAATGTCGAGTTGAAGGCCACAGCAAACGTTTTCTTCTTCTGCTCATGTAGAAGTTTTTGAATAAATTCTGCTTCCTAGGAATACAAAAATAATTCTGTTAATAACGGGGCGCAATTGGTATCCATCAAAACTTCCAACAAAAAATACATAGATATTGTCAATCAGAATCTGAAGCATCTGTTTAATATCAACTTCAGAGTATTTGTGTGTACAATCAGAATGTTTTTTAACAAAATAAAAATCTGAAAAATTTTGAGACAATTACCTAGTATACAAACCCTCAGTGCTGAACTATAAGAGTTATTTTTAACCTTTGATTCATAGATTTTTAAAAATAAGTTCTATTTTCCCCCATGAATTCTCATACGGCTCTTTCATTGTTTTTCTCTTAAAATTTATTATGTGAACTTCAAAAGATTTTTGATACAGATTTTAAGCATTTAGTTGCACTTCACCTCCAGGCAATGGACTGGGGACTGGCACACACAAGCTTGAAATGGGACAGCTATGATGTTATTACTGCATTCACTACATAGAGAAAAGATAAGCTGTCACCAACAAACATCCGTATAAAGATCATAATCAACTATGCATTGAATATGAATAACAATTATATCTCACACGGATCTTTTAAGATATTTGTCTGTATTTTTGAGCATTGATGACTGACAATTTATTTGTATAACGTAAAAAGTTGGCTTAAGATTATACTCTCCCGGACATTATTTACTAGTATCTAGATAACAGACACTTGTCCTTACCTGCCCGATGACGAAATAATAGAATTAGTGGGAGGCATATGATATATAAAGTATCAAACTGACGTCTACATTTAATAAAACTTCTTTTTACCGTTTGATTGTGCACAGATATTTGTTCAGGTAATTTACTTCAGCTCTAACTATCATCCATTTTTGTATTACTTAACAATTATTAATTTGTTTATGTGTTGAGTGGTTGTCCAAACATATTTTTTCTTGGGTTTTTAATAATTTGTTTTTAGTTCATTTTAATCAATAATTCAATCATAAAGATTATATTTAGATTAAATCAAATTAAAAAAAAATAATGAGTGCTTGAATAACATCGAATAAAAGAATATTCTTTTTCTATTTAACGAGATTACAACCATAATAATACATGTATATGAAACTTTTTTTTTTTAAAAAGTACTTTCTAAAAAGCTAATTATATATTAAGGGCGTGCATAAAATGTCATCAATTTTTTGTTTGTTTGTATGTTGTTTAACGTTCCTCTGGAGAATTTTTCACTCATATGGAGACGCCGCCACTTGCTGCATATTTTGTCCTATACTCGGCACTTACGGCCATTGAGCAGTGAGGGATCTTTTTCGTGCCAGCACCTACTGCGACACGGGACCTTGGTTTATACGGTCTCATCCGAAGGACCGGTGTCCACGTCCCACAGTGGGATTCGAACCCGCGACGTAAGGATCAACCCCTTACTTCGCGACTCTAGAGCAGACTCTCTAACCACTGCGCCACGCGGGCGACCAAATTTTAAAAATAAAACATGGAAATATTTTTAATTGATTTCCTTAAGTATACATATCTTTTGTAGACAAAAATTTCAATCATTTTATCCATCATGTAATGTTTTTATTTCTTGAGACATATATTCTTCCTGACAAGTGTATTTATTTTAATTCAATGGAAGAAAAAAGTCATAGGGAGACAGATTTGTTGAATAGGGAGGGTTGAGTAAAGCTTGAACTTTTTTTTCAAAAATGATCTCATTTTCTAGGATTTATATGCTACACTTTTGCCACACTTTAATTGTTCTTTCTTGAGATATTGTTGCGTGATAAAAAGTCAAAGAATATGATTGTTTTACTGTGTTGAACTACAAAATTATATTGTTCATAAAGTATTTCATTTTCCTTCATTTACATGCAGTCCTGAAATTTCAAAAATCTATTTTAAGTTTTCATACAGAATAATAGTGTTTATAAATACTTTTTATTGCTTAGATTTATTATTTCACTCTTCTGTGGTCTGAGTTGGATTTAACCAAAAGCAAAAGCCAGATATCGCTTTAGAAATGAGCTCGGCTAAAGTAAATGATTTCTAACTATCCCTAATTTCATAACACGCTAAGCGTTACACTGGATTTAAATTTATTTGCAAGATTGATTGTGCTTATTCCTCCCAGCTTCTAACACAAATAAGAAATAAGTGTATATAAAAGTGTGATTTTTTTTTTTAAACATGATAGCGAAATCAATTTTTCATACTTTTCAGGATTTCACGATGTTCTGTCGCATTGCTCTGATGATTTTCTTGGTATCGCTTGCCTATGGTTGCCACACGGAATATCAAAGTAACATGTGCCGATGTCTACGTCGTCTGTATGAGGATCTGCTACATTATAAGGCAGAATCCGAATTGTGTATCCGGGTGTAATAACAATTTAGCGAAATGTTGGAGAAAATGTTAAAATAATTAATTAACGGAAGCAGTAAAAGCTTGACGATAGAAATAACTTAGCAAAGATAAAAACATTGAACACTTTATTTGTATGCATTTTCCAAACTAGAAAAAAAAAAAAACCACAAATGTTTTGTTCATCAACACTTTTTTTTTTAATTTTTGAATATTTTTATATGTAATTACAAATTGCTGGCACCATGTGGTGAAAATAAAGTAGATAAATTCCCAGTATTTACAACTTAATACGATATTATTTCTAAATGTCCATAAAACATTTTATAAAAGTTCATCTTCATCCTACAGTGTTTTGCACAGGAATTTAGTATGTAGTACTTACTAACTTCGATTTCGTAACTGCACCGGCTAGCCCTACTTTAAAACATTAATATACCAATTAAGGAATGAATTTAATAGCTATACAAGTTATACTGTATAACCTGGGTTGGGGCTTTATAAACCGCGATACAGTATGTTGTCAGACAAGATATTTATTTATACAGGCGTGAAAAGTATTGATTTGTCTGAAAATAAGGTTTCACCTTACTTTTTGACTTATCAGTGAACTTTGTAATCGTTTATATCAATATACATGTATATTTATCATGTATGAAAAAATATATTTTTTTTTTAACATTGCGATAAACAACTTTTAAAAATCATAGTTTAACATTGTTTTCTCAAATGATATAATAGTTAAAAATTTCAAGTATCATATCTGTAGAAAATTATAGTTTTACTAATACATGATACACTTCTTGTGTTTTCAGAGGAAATTCATCAAGTGTATGACTTTGAGATTGACAGTGAAGGCCATGCAATGGAGGGGTACTTATTTCCAGATCTTCACTCGGGGGACAGAGTGCAAGTGAACTTACCAGAGGGCGATTCAATCACGGAAAATGCCAAGGATGTGAAATACATCCGCCTCAAAATTCAAAAGTGTAAAAATAGTACGGTATGTTATGAATTTCATGGACATGAAAAAAAATAATCTGGAAATTATTTTTATGTTGCAATGAATGATATATCAGTCAAAATGAAATCACTGTTTGAATTCCTATCATTAATGAGAACAATTGTCTATTTGAATGATACATAGTATAAGTTCTATTTTTTTACAGAGTCCTCCTCTTTTCCGTGTGTTCGACTCGGAATACTTCTCAGTCGACAAAGACAACTATATTGTGGTAGACACCAATAACACTGCCGAGTTACAAGAGAAAAAGGAACTTAGGTTTTATGTAAGTTTTATATACGAACACGAATTAGTCTGATTTAATTGTATTGTGAAGATGGGTTCATTTGCATAAATAAAATCATAGTTATTAATTAGTTGGAATGTACACATATTTTGAAATAAATTTGTAATAACTCAGCTGACCTTTGGATTCCCAAAAGCACGAGGATTGTTCCAATGAGCTAATACGTTTAATAAATACTTTTAGCCTGTGATATTGATAATTGGAACACTTCACTTTTTACTTTTTTTTCGTTCCAGGTTGTACTTATTAACGAACATGGTCAGGCTGTCTCAAATCCTCTTCCATTTATTGTCCGTATTGAAAATAAAACTGAAGGTTCATCAGACAACCCCCTGCATCCTGCCATTTTTGCAGGGGTTTTAGTTTTAATTATAGTTCTGCTAGCGCTAGGAATTCCATTCGTAGTGAGAGCAAAGAGGAGATTTAAGCAGGGAAAACCCGTTATGAAACTAGGTAGTTATCCAGGTTCTAGTGCGGATCTGAAGGCTATAATGGTGTCCGAATCGGTGGAGGATATTCCTGGAATGAAGCGACGACAGAGTGAACCAAACTGTTTCGGGGAAAATAGAATCCTCTCCTATGAGGATGAGGTGAAAACAGAGAAAGCTACCTTCACCAAAGAAATTAAACAGCTTGAGAGGAAAATTTCACAAGGACAAAGCAATAGTGCTGCACTAGATGATGACGACGGATTGGTGAAATACACAAAGACCCCTCAAAAAGGGATTCTGAAGAATAGCGACCCCAGTCATAATGACAATGAAAAAGTATCTGTCTCGGTTGATGTTCATGGAAAGCCCTATAGTGAAGAACAATCAAAATTATAATACTGAATTTCATCAAAGATTATTTACTAGTATTCAAATATTTTTTTTTTATATTGAGTTATTTTTTATATATATCTATGAGCAAAGGTTGATTAATTTACTGTGCATTATAGTAATTGAAGCAGCATTTTACTATGTATATTTTTGATTGTATTTTGTTATAATATAATTTAAGATTGTTTATATAGATGATATTTATCTCAGTATAGTTTTCACAAATTGATCTGAGAATCGTTTTATTTTTTCCCCTAGATGTAATATACATTGATTTTAAACATGAATTAAGATAAGTCCACTCCAAATTTTATTGTTGCCCATCCTTCATTCAACTAACTGCACAAACGATGATGACTTCCTAAACCTCCCAAATACGTGTCATAAAAGCTCCACCTCGAATTAAACTATGAACATAAATAAATTGGATACGTCATAAGATTAAAAATTTAGGGATTTACCTGATTTTCATTACCTTACATTTTTCAAGATCCACAACTATATGTAAGGAACATTGCACTCTTTGGATTCCCATAGCTTTTGACCATTTCTCCTGTTACATATTACCAAACGTTTTCCTTTACATTATCCACTTTTCCTTTTGCTCCCTGTCTCTTTTTAAAAAAAGTCCTGGATCCGAGCTTGGGATGATTGTGAAAGAAGTCAAAAAACATCCTATGAAAGTAAAGGTCACCCCAACATCTCATCAGAGCGTTGTTTCTAACGCCGATTTTAAAGTCGAAGGTCATTGCATGTCAAATTCTTACGCTGCATTGAAAAAAAACATCATCATGATTTACACCAATAATTCTGATATTATAAAATAATATCAATGGACATCTCTAGTTGCAAATCAGTAGCCCTCTGAACGTTTATCCCTTTTTTCAGATCAGTGAACTAAGGCCTGCAGCTATCCCAGGGGCAGGTTAGTCACCAAGCTCTTTTCAATGCTTGAAATAGAATTGGAATTCCATTGGAATTGGAAATCAGTCATTGAGATGGACAGTCCTTCTTTAATTTTTTTTCTCCAATTTCTAATTCACTCGACTTAGTGTTCTTTATTTTGTTGTTGTTGTTGACATTTTCCATTGTATGCAGATTCCGAAAAAATGAAATATGCTGTGGTCGAAAGATATATACCCGGTATTTGAATATACTATTATTTCATGTAAAATTTTTCAAATAATTCTACCAAAGATAATGGTTCTCCGAGATCAAACAAAAATATTGCAGGGTCCAGCAAATGTTCAACCAAATCCCAATCCTTATTCCTCACCAAAATATTAACTCCTGTAAAAGAGAAACTTCAGATTTATTGTGCTACGACATATTCTAGAAGTGCTGTGCATCAAAAACTTTTGGAAAATTTGCAATCTAAAACTTTTCAAATCAGCAAAGATAAGATTTTTACACACTTTACATAACCATTCCTCACGATAAACCAAAGAGCAGGCATTTTGACGTCATAGACAACTGCTTCCTTAATAAATATGGAACTCGTAAATTTTTATAACTTGTGATTTGGGATGATGCTGTAGTTCCCCATTGACTATATATATATATATATATATATATATATATATATATATATATATATATATATATATATATATATATATATATATATATATATATATATATATATATATATTAGGGATGTCAAATCGGTCAATTTTTGATAATCCGTTACTCGGACGTTTTTCCGATCGAGTACCCGGGTACTCGGTAAAAATGTAAATACAAGTTTGTTAATTTTTAATTATTAATTTGGTAAACCCCAAAGCTGTTTTTATCACGTTTTATGAATGTATATAAACATGGGGTCCAAGGGAAATGATTTTTGGTACTAAATTTATTTATTAGATAAACACAAATGACCTAATTAATACATCAAAAATTACAATAGTTTACAGTTCTTGTTTAGGATGCAAAAGGAGGACAATCTGTTACGCAGGTTTGTGATGATTACGAAAGAGAATTCGAAGGAACTGACGTTGTTTGGATCGCTAGTCTAATATTTTTCATATGTTGGTTGTTTCCCCCGTATACACTAAACTTACTATGGAAACTGACTTTAAACATTTTTTTTTAATCTTTACTTATTTTGAAGTGGGTAGCGGCATTTCTATGCAGGTCCGATTTTGCTGCCGTATATAAACTAAATAATGTAAAAATGATTTGAAGATAATAGACCATATTAAAAGATGTTCACTGAAAAACAATCATTGAAGCCATCAAAAAATTAAGGACCACAATAGGTGAGAATAGCTGTGTACCAGGTGATTGGTCACTAATTACTGTATATACACAGCCATAGGCGATAACGGGTGTTTATATAGAAGACGACACGCTAATTACCCGTATGCATATTTAAGTTATTTTTTTGATAAAAATATGTACTTTGAAATAAGAAAAAATTACACATCCGAGTAACCGAGTACCATTTTTAGTATTCGATATTCGGACGTTCGATCGAGTACCCGGTTAACCGGTTACTCTTTGACATCCCTAATATATATATATATATATATATATATATATATATATATATATATATATATATATATATGTAGTCTTTGGAGACCAAATCTTCCAACAATCGGTTGGAATTACGCTGGGGGCTAATTGTGTTTCTCAGCCGATCTATTTTTATATTCCTAAGAGGCAGAATTTATTCAAAAACTCTTACATGAGAAGAAAACTCATCAACAAATGCACTGCTTAAGGAGGCCTAGTTAATTCCATATGAGCTACAATCGATTCTCCCATGGTGTCCCGATAGGGCCATTTGCAAAAGTGTAACAGCAGGCCCGTAACAACGGTTTCAAAAGTGGGGGAGGGGGGCAACTTCCCCCAAAAAATCTGACAAGCAAAAAAAGCTAATTTACTGTCCAAATCCTGGAATTTGTCAGTGCTCGACCTTTCAACATCAAAAAGTGGGGGGCCAACTAGCATCTAAAGAAAATTTACTATAGCAAAACACTATACTCAGAAAAAAGTGCCCCCCCTCTACGGGGCCTGAAAAGTGCGTTAGTAGCAACGCTAGCGCGAAGTGACAACACACAAGCGCGCTGTTCACAACACGCCGGCGCGTTGTCACATTGCGCTAGCGCGTTATCACTTGCACAAAGGTGCAACAAAAGTGACCCCCGTAGAATACTGACCGAGGACCATTTTTCTACATAGAAGTTTGACTCCCTGGTCAATATTCTACGTAGAAAAATGACCCAGTTTTTCGTAGAAATTATGGCCTTGGGGTAATTTTTCTCCGTGTGGATTGTAGAAAACACCCAATAGAATAATGATCCTGTGTCATTTATTATACAAAAAAACTGAATGGTTTTGGTAGGAAAATTCTTGATAGGCAAATACATAGGGATTAAATCACGCAGCCTTATGATATGAAGTGTTCATTTCTAAAAGATTTAAATAACATAAATAAAAGGTTGTACTATACTTTACATTAATAATACAAGATGTTTTATCCCCATTAAAGGGAAACATTACATGGCTATAAAGATGTTCTTTGACACTTTTTTTGATTTGCTTTATCACATTTAATAATATAAGTTTCCACAGTTGTAATTATTTAAAAAATCAAGATCATTTTCTAATCTGGTGTAAGAAAGAAAAACAAATAAATAAACAAGAGGCCCATGGGCCACATCGCTCACCTGAGCACATTGGCTATCAGTTCACTATTGAAAAGTTTACAGTGTGTGTGTGTGTGGGGGGGGGGGGGGGACTTGAATTTTACACTACCTGAAGATGCTTCCATATCAGTATAAGTAAAGGCTTTGCTGGTCTTGAACAGAAGATTTCTAAAAAAAAATTAAAAAGATTTTTTCCTATATATTCCTTTGTAAAAACTTGATCCCCTATTATTGTCACTCCCTTTATCCCTGGAGGTCATTATTTAAACAGACTTGAAACTACACTACCTAAGGATGTTTCCATATCAATATGACTAATCATGGTTTTGCTGTTCTTAGGAAAAATATTTTATAAGTTTTTTACTATATATTATGTAAAACTTTGATCTCCCATTGTGGTCCCATCGTACCCCAGGGGTCATCATTTGAACAAATTTGAATCTATTCTACCTGAGGATGTTTCCATATCAATATGACTCATCCTGGCTTTGCTGTTCTTAAGGAGAAGATTTTAAAAGTTTTTATTCCTATATATTTCTACGTAAAATTTTGATCCCCCATTGTGGCCCCACCCTTCCCCCGGTGGTCATCATTTGAACAAAGTCGAATTTACACCACCTGAGGATGCTTCCATATGAATATGATTACTCATGGCTTTGCTGTTCTTGAGAAAAAGATTTTTAAAGATGTTTTCCTATAAATTCCTATGTAAAACTTTGATCCCCTACTGTGGCCCTACCCTACCCCCGGAGGTCATTATTTGAAAAAAAATTAAATCTTCACAACCTGAGGATGTTTCCATATCAATATTACTACTGAAGGCTTTGTTGTTCTTGAACAGAAGATTTTCAAAGATTTTTTCCTATTTATTCCTATGTAAAAATTGATCCCCAGTTGTGGCCCACCCTACCCAGGGAGGTCTTCCTTTGAACAAACTTGAATCTATAACATGTAAAGAACGTTCCAATAACTGGTTCTTGAAAAGAAGATTTTAAAAAGATGCCACCAAATTTTCACTATTTCTGAATTACCTTCCCTTGTAAGAGAGCGTGGCCCTTCATTTGAATAAACTTGAAACCCTTCATCTAAGAATGCTTTTTGGCAAGTTTGGTTGAAATTGGTCCAGTGGTTCTTGAGAAGAAGATAAAAATTTGAAAAGTTTACGACGACAACGTCAATCACAGACAACGGACAAATTTCGATCAGAATTTTATGCCCCCCCCCTCCCCATGGACATGGGGGAGAGTCTTAAACCATCAAAATTAGTGCTATTTCAAAAAATCCTCTTTACTCCTGGACACCAAGCATTAAACATTGAGCCCTCTACCAAAATTGTGAAATTGTGATAGTAAGAGTTGGACTCTAATGGTCATGGTAGTTAAAAAGTCCTCTCTCCCCTACATGTTCAGCACATGTTCAGCAGATAAATTCAGGTGCCCCTTTCAAAGTTGTGAAATTTGTGCTCTCTCTCCC